TTTTTTTTTACTATTAACAGATGAACTACCAACAATACAGTTTATAGTAAATAAATAAACATTACTGACCTGAAACAGGTAACAGAAGTTTTAGCAACTTTATTGTTGTTGAGAAAAAAAAAGCAGTTTTAAAATTCGTTACCAATAATAATCGGTGACGTTAAGAGATAATTTTTTTTTCATATTTTGGTAGGGAATTGATCAAAAAACTGAATAAACTATTTCTTTATCAATTATTTCAGTTACATTTTTCAAATGCTACAAATCAAAAGCGTCAAATTTATTGTTGTTAGACTTTTGTTTATAACCATAGCAATTATTATGGTCAAAAACGTCTTGAATTCCAATCTAATCATTAAAATTAATGATGACGATAGCAAATGACTATAAAAAATTATAAATTTGTTCGGAAAAAAAACTAAAAAAAAAACCAGTGAAGAAGAGTAACAAAATTTTGCTATATTTTAGTTGAAGAAAATTTCAACTGTTTAATCTGCATCAACAAAAGGATTACCAGTGACAAATGAATAAATGTTGACGAAGTGGACAATAATTGACAAAAAATGGTCATCGTAACCAAAGTTCGATTTCTTCTATACTTTTTTTTTTTCTACTTTTTCTTTTTTAAAAATACAAACTTTTACACATAAAGTTTCAGTGCCATTGTCAACAGTTTCTGCTATTCATTGAATGCTTATACTACAAAATTGGTTTGCATTACAATTAGCTTATTTTGTGATAAAAAAAAAAATTGAAAAACATTTTTTCAATGTTTTATATTATAGGGCGATTTCATATGGATTGAGTCACCATCAAAAACCCTATTCTCCTGCCCAATTGGTGCACGAGTTGTCGATGCAGATGGAGGAAAAATTAAGGTTGTAGATGATCAAGGAAGGGTATGTCAACAATTTTAATCCCTAATTTTTTTATCATTCACGCATAGCAGTAATAGCTTTGAAAAAAAAAATGTTTTTGAATTAAACAATAAAGAAAAAAGAAAATTAGACAAAACAATTTTCAGTAGATTTAAATAAACTTTTAAGGAACAATGGCTAACATCAGAACGACGTATCCGTTTGATGCATCCCACTTCCATACAGGGAGTAGAAGATATGATACAACTTGGAGACCTCCATGAATCTGGTATTCTCAGAAACCTATTTGTACGCTATTCTGAAAAACTTATTTATGTAAGTATCTTTGCCAGATTAATGATGCACTGCAGCATCAACAAATACTTTTCGGTTGCGTCTGTTCAAAAAAAAAAAAAAAACCTATTTTAAACTTTTTTTTTTTAAACTTTAACAGTTTTTTATATTATAAGTTATTCAAATGATACTATAAATGATATACTTTAGACATACACGGGTTCTATTTTAATAGCTGTTAATCCATATATGGATTTACCAATATATGCTGCTGAACAAATTCGTATGTATCGAAATCGACGAATTGGTGAAATGCCGCCACATATTTTTGCAATATCTGATAATGCATACAATAATATGAAAAAAAGTGATAAAGATCAGTGCATAATAATAAGGTGCAGAAAAAAAAACAAAAAAAAAAAACTACTTTTCTGATAGATGTAATGTCTACAAATTAAAAAAAAAAAAAATGATATTTTTTGTTTGCTAATATATTAATTGATTAAAATTAAAAGAAGAGAAAGCTAATTTTTTATATATTGCAAAAAAAAACTGAGAAAAAAAATCTTTTTTCTATTTGTTTTATATACTAAAAGTAAATTGTGCATTAAGAAACCATAAGTAATCAAAATAAACCTAAAAAGATAGTAACTGAATAAAAAACAAACTTTTTTTGTTTCTATATATAAAATTTCAGAAAAAAGCTGTCTCATTGATTTCTAATAATGTGCAAATATTGAAAAGAAAAGATTACATTTATATTAAAAAAAAAAAAAATTTTTTTTTTTTTATATTCTGTAAAGAATACGCTAAAAACCAATATTTACAGTGGAGAATCTGGAGCCGGTAAAACTGAATCAACAAAATTGGTGTTACAATTCTTAGCCACAATTTCGGGTCAACATTCATGGATTGAACAACAGGTGTTAGAAGCAAATCCAATAATGGAAGGTAAAAAGTTAAACAGTTAAAGAAAAAACAAAAACGATTAAGCAGTTGCTGAAATCTTATTGAAAAATAAAATTTCTGTTTTCTTTTTTTTTTTCCTTTAAAAGGACAGTCTCTTAACCAATATCAAATTAAAATTGCTATTGCAAATAACAGAAAAAAAAAATTTTTTTTTGTAAAAGTAAATGGAAAAAAAATGATGTAAAATAGAAAAAAGACTAATTTTTAGGACTTCAATACAGAACAATTCGATTGTCAAACAGTGCTTAATTAGAAAATTTTAGCATCTTAGTTAATTTTACGGTTTTGAAACTGTTGTTAAATAATGGCTGTAGGAATGGTTTTGTCGATAGGCATCGCTAATTTAAATTGGGGTTCTTCAATTGAACATTAGCCTTCACAAAAAAAATTGGTTTCCTTCATTCAATAAACGTTTAATTGAATTTTTTTTTTTTTTTTTAAAATAAACTATAAAAAAGTAAATAAGAGCAAAAAAGTTCAAAGTTAAAGTTCAAAATTAAAACAACAAAACAGCAACAACTTTTATTAATACTTTTATGCACTTTTTTTAGGTTTAAACAGCTAAAAGGTTAATTATGTAATTATTGAAACACATAGCTTTTTTTTCAAATTAAAAGCTTTATTTCAAATTATAATTATTATAACTTTTCACTTCACTTTATTTAACAGCATTTCAATTTGGTTTCAAAAACTTCAATAGTTATTACAAAAAGAAAAGTGCAAAATTATAGATTAAACTTAAAAACAATGCATATTTTATATTGCAGTTTATCGTTTACAAATTATACTTTATAACTGATAAAATTTTTTTGTTAATTGAAACCAACTGTTGTTTTAAATTTGCAAAAGAAAAAAACAACCATTAAATGCTATTAACTATTCTTCTCTTTTTTTTTTGTTGTTTATGCTAATATTAGACTGATCTTAAAAATATGCTAATATCAATTGTAAATGCTTTTGAAGATTTAATTATTGTCAACAGCTAAAACGACAGTCACAACTGTTTTTTTTTTTTTACTAATGTTTACTTTTGCAGCAAAAAATTGTTCTCTTTTTTTTTTTTCTTATAGATGTTTTTCTATTCTTTTCTAATTTTTTTTTTTCTCAAATTGAACAATTTAAATTTAAATGTTAAAAAAAAAATTTTTCACTGTTATCTATACAGTTTATTTTATGATTAGATAATTGATCAGTTTATTGTTCAGTCAAATAATTTTAAAAATTTTCAACTATTACTTACTCCACTTTACACCTTTTTCAATTTTCAATACTTTTACATTTCCGAATACAATGTAAATTTAGTCAAAAAAAAAAAAAA